TTGGCTGGTTATTTGATGTGGTAAAGAAGATATTGCATAATAATACTACATAATATCTAAAAACAGAACATACTACAGCATTTTCTAAAATAGCGGTGCTACAAACGGAGACATTATGAAAACTAGCTTTAGTTGTGATCCTAACGTTAGGAGCCGTAAAATTATATTCTGATGTAATAAAAATATATATTCAATAATACTTGAACGCAAAGATTCACAATAAACATCTCATAACAGAATTGTGGTATTTACAGTAAAAGTCTGGCGACTGTTAACCAAGTAGTGCTATGCGTCAGATAACTTCCGTTTCTTTGGGATTTAGAAGACAATAAAGAGTACTCATTATATCTTAAACGCTTACTGGGTAATCCAGGATTATAAAAATGACTGATATTCTATGGTTCCTGCTGATTTTGCGCCACTTTCGCAGGACAACAAATTAGTAATAATCATTTTAGATGCTTAGATTTGTGGTACAGATCGATTGTTCCTCCAACCAAAAGGTGTGATTCTGCAAGCCTGATTTATAGGAACTAAAACAGCAAAGTTATCAGCTGCTTAAATGATTGCCTAAGACTCGCACAACGGAGTAAATACGAGTAGGTTCAAAATACGCTCACGAAAAACCATGTTTCAGCCTTTGTTATAGCCGTGAAATCCAAATTCTGGTGGTTAGGCTAATTTTTCACGAATAAAGTTATATTAAAACTAATTTTTTTAAACACAGGCTGTTTAAACACGAGAGTACTTACGATAACTTTAGTCGATTTCGACAAAAACACAGCGACGGTACAACCATTGCATTACTTATACACAAGAGTTTACAACTGTGCAAAAGAAATTGGTCAAATGAAATACACTTAGGTACCTTAACAACTTAACCACAATCTTAGAATTACACCGCATATATTGATAATATGTAGATTCATGAAATTGTTTGCTCTATTCAGAGTGTTACATATACTACGTACCATAGTAGGATTAATGAATCAAGAGGAGTAAAATGACTGAAACAGTTCCGCAGTGTTGTAAGATATAACAAACTTAATATCACATTCGACTTGTAGCAAATTTCATAAAGAAATCTGAGTTCTTGTGGCTGCCAATTTGAACGTGAAATTCTGTATATTTTTCCAGAGCGATGAAGTCTTCAAACTTTAACGTTTCATTAGAGGTTTGATCGAAAGAAAACAGACGTCAAAACTCTAAATTATACTACATTCAAATTCAAAGTGATCAACTTGTCTCTGATTTGTAACTAACAAAATAATCAAGGGCAATAAAAACAAATTTAAATCTTTCGATGGAAAATTAGAAAGTGGCCTAGCATAAATTCACTGCGTGATTCCTTCTTCACTACCCTAACTGTCATTCATTTTCTCCCATAAAAAAAGTTGTCTGAAGCATTAGAGATTCGCACACCTGTATACGAACACTATGATGTTCAATAATTTTATTGCTTAGTGTTGAATGGCCAACACGTTGACCATTGAGAAACAAATAAGCTTGGTAATAACTGAATTGTACTTCACTATTATACAGTAATCGAAATAACAAACAGCCTATTCGCAAAAGTCCCCCTAATGTTTGCAACTGATCCACTAAGTAGAGAGAGTGTTATTTCAGCATTCTTAAGTTCCACAAACCACTTCGCCTTTATTGGGGCCGTCGATACGAAATTATTAAAAGGTCATGTTATCTCTAATATTTTGAATTACTTCGTCAGATGACAGCACTGGGCATCATTACTAACCGAGTTCATCATTTGCGCTCTTGCGCATTATGGTCATGTGCTCTTTGTATATACTGCTGTTTCCTTCGTTTTATCCGTGTATATAGTCCTCTGAAAAACTTGTCTTACTAACAGCTTGTTGTACCGCATTAAAATCTGACCCTGAGTTTTAGGTAATAGGTAATTCTGTCGAAGAACTAGATAAAAAAGTAAGTGGTAAAATTACTGGTTAAGTTATTAGTTCATCAAACAACTATTTAAAATTTACGGTAAAACGGACATTCTTTACTGCTGTAAAGCATAGAAAATCCTTTCTAAGTTTAAACGGAAGTCACCATATCTTCTAATTCCATGATTAGCAGCCATCACAGACTGATTTTGAATGCGACAAACCGCAGACTCAGATATAATAATCATTTTCTCGCAGATACATTCTGGTCATCTAGTATTACTATTTAGCCATGGAAAATTTTAAAATTTAAAGTGAAAAAGAGCAAACAGGATGGTATTCATACTAATTCTATTTTACTGTAGCAATGACAAAAGTCATCTTCAATTATACGAAAGGAAGAAATGAATGCAGTAAGTTGGCAAAACACTCATGATAATTCTTGTCGCTTGAAGCTCCAGGTGAAACGAAAGAAAACTTTTCTCCATTTTTTTCGTACCATACATCGGGCAAACCTGGGAATGCTCTTCTGCTTGCAATGACTTGTCAGTTTTTTTAAGAGAGTAGGCAACGCAACCAAGAAAACTCACAACGACTTCTTTGGGGATTAACACGAACAGCGACACCCAATTCTTACGATGTTTGCAATGACAGTACTTTCTCCTTTCGATCATACGCAAGTGATATCCTACTCGAGTAGAGCCGGATTTAAAATAAAACTTGGCATTTAAATTCCACAAAATTTCGGTAAGATTACGGTGGTAAGGAGTTACATGATAATTCGAATTGATCTTCCTGTTTGAAACGCGGTTACCCTTAAAAATGACAACGAAAATGATGCCCGAAGCGTTGATCCCCACTACTATTAAAATCAGAGCACTTTTCGGTTATACAGGGTTGTTTTCGAAAAACAATTTTATGGTAGAAGAAAATACATATGAGAAAATGAGTGGATACCATTCTCTGCTTTCCTATGAAATTATAATTTTTGTTCATATTTTATCGTCGATACTAAGAGATTTGACACTAAGAGAGCTTAAAGATTTGATACGAAGAGACTTTAAAC